CTAAAAAAAGAAAAGAAATGAGGAAAGAATTAATAAAGTGGAAAAAGTGAATAAAAGGGAAGGCTGAGAAAAAAATATAAGATGAAAGAATGAAAGGTGAAAGACGACAAAACAAAGAATTGAATAAAAAAGAAAGTAGAACAGTGAACAAAGAAAAAAAGAATGAAAGTGAAAGAAAGAAAATAAAAGAAATGAAGTAAAACAAAGAAACATAAAGAGAGGAGAAGAAAAAGAGAAAAATAAGAAAAATATAGTGTCATAAGGTAAGACAATAAAAAAAGTCAAGAAAAGAAAGATGGAGTGTATAAAGAAGAAGAAGAAGAAGGAGGAGGAGGAAGAGGAGGAGGAAGAAGAAAAGAAAGAAGAGGAGGAGGAGAAGGAGGAGGAGGAAGAAGAGGAGGAGGAGGTGGAAGAAGAAGGAGGAGGAGGAGGAGGAGGAAGAGGAGGAGGAAAAAGAAAAGAAAGAAGAAGAGGAGGAGAAGGAGGAGGAGGAAGAAGATGAGGAGGAGGAGGAAGAAGAAGAAGAGGCAGAGGAAGAAGAAGAAGAAGAGGAGGAGGAAGAAGAAGAAGAAAATGACAAAAGAAAGAAACAGACGAAAAAAGCCACAGAAAAGAAAAGAAAGAAATAGAAAGAGTGACAATACAAAAAAAGTAGGAAGAAAAGTTAAATTGGAGAAACGTATCAAAACTTGAATAATTTGATATAAAAAAAAAACACAAGTGAAAAAAGGAAACAAGCTATAATTTTTTTCCACCTTAAAAATACCGATATAAAAAAAAAAATGAAAAAATAAGATTGGAAAAGTAATCTGGTGAAAAACCAAAATTTTACCGTCGACATGTTTTAAAAGTAAAAAGCCAATCGAATCCATAACACTAATATCTTTGAGATTGGAAGAAAGAAGCAAGGCATTGTCGGCCAATCCTGCACACGGCAATATGTCAAATCGTATATATATCATCAGCGTATGGTGAGGGAAAGCATTATTAATAGTGGGGAGTGGGAAAGAAAAGTAGAAAAATATCTCGCATATGACCGACCCCTGTGTATTTGAAATGATAAGAGCATTAAAGATCACTTGAAACATAATTTCTTCAGCTTTGGAAATTTGTTACGTATTTCAGACTTTAAATTCTCTTTTTCCTCTTTTCTCTTTTTCAAAATATTTTTCCTATGCCAGATATTTGTGAAGTCCCCATAGTCTGCCTTTAGAAAAAATAAAATAAAACGGTATTTTTTTAAATCTTGGTATTTTTGAATTTGTTTTTCGTTTCTGAGAGGCTTTAATTTCTGTTATAAAAAAAATAGTATAAATACAACGACTCATCAGAGAACCACTGTTGTTGCTCTCTCCCTATTTCAAAATTCACCTCTTCTTTCTCCTTTTTACTGCTACTACTACTACTCCTACTTTTTACTACTACTACTACTACTACTATTACATGTACAGTGGAAATTCGATGGGTGATGACATAATATATCGTTCTTACTGTCATCTCTGTTTCTCTCTGTATGTCTTTCTCCCTCTCGTTCTCGCTTTTGTCTTCCACTCTGTTCTCTCTGCCTGTCTCTTTGTCTGTCTCTCTGTCTCTGTCTGTCTGTCTCTCTTTTTCTCTCTCTATACATACATATATATATATATATATATATATATATATATATATATATTATAAATTGATTTAAAATATGTTTTTTTTCGCTACACAGTTCTAACCATGTTTCAAAAATGGAAGCTAAAAGCCCCGAATTTAATTTTGTGATTATTTTGTAAAAATAAAAATATCTATAAGAACACCGGATTATATATCTTACTGTTCTTTCTTTATATATATATATATATATATATATATATGGATGGATTTGGAATATTGCTAACAGATTTGGATTAAGCACAATATGTTAAATATAATTGTACTGAAAATCGCTAAACAATAAAAAAGAAAGAAAGGAAGAAAGAAAGGAAGATTTGATTTGTTTGTTTAACGGCATATCAACTCCATATGACTCATTTAATGACGAAATTTAATTTTCTTGGGAGCTTGGAATTAATAAAAATGATATATGTTATTCTGATTTCACAACTGAGTACGTGGTAAATGATATTCATCTTTTGTTCACATGCATGTATTGCTGGTATTTTTACTATAAAAGATGTATTTTCATACTTTCATAGTGGTTTAACTTTGTTTCGGTGTTCACTATTTGTCCAGAGCTGGGGCGCTAACAAGGCGCTATCACCACGGGTCAAAGGTAGATCTGGAAATTTAAAGCAATTAAAAGGTGGGTTCACGCCCCCTCAAAACCTCCAATGTCCCGATCAGAGGTCTTGCTGCCAGATGTAGTTTATCGTCATACGCAAGACTCAGAAAGAAAAGAAAAAAGAAAATATATATAGAAAGATTACGAAAGATTACATAAATTTAAGAAAAAAGAAACATATTTAGAAAGGATATTTACTAACGGATTTGTATTATCCAATGCATATTAAACATAATCTAATTTCCATTACTAAAGAAAGAAACAAACAAACAAAAATATCTACATTATTTACATTATTCAGACTGTTATCCTCATCTTCATTGCCATATTCACAAGAACACATGCCCCAGTGGATAAAGGCGTTGGTTATATCCAGTGACTAGACCCAAAGAATTGCGAGTTCATCACCTGGTGAAACAAAAACTTGGAAAGTTGAGTTGAAGAGAAATAACTGAGACATCCAGATGAGGCATGGCAAGTGGAATAATCTACCCCAGTGGACGAAATAAAGGGTTCGGTTCGAAATTCCAATTTTAGAAGACTGATGAACAATATCAAATATATATATATATATATATATATATATATATATATATATATATATAATTGATTTAAAATATGTTTTTACCATACACAGTTCTAACCATGTTTCAAAAATAGAAGATGTGTAGCGAAAAAAAAAATATTTTAAATCAATTAATTTATAATATTAATGCTCTGTAAATTTACAACTCTCACTATTTTGTAAAAAATAAAAATATCTATAATAACACCGGATTTTATATCTTACTGTTCTTACTTTATATATATATATATATATATATATATATATATATATATATATATATATATATATATTATTATAATTATTTTTTAAAATATAATTCCTTCGCTACATAAGAGTTCTCATGTTTCAAAAATAGATAATAAAAATAATAGTATAATTATTAAAATTAAATGGAATTAAAGTATCAAGCCCTGTTTCATCTTCAAGCGAAAATTTCGGAACTTAAATTACTAGATTGCTAAATTTTCGCTTTCGCATTCGCAGGTTTTAGGTAAAGGATTTGATGAAGAATTGAATCAAAATGCCATTCAGAAAAACTAGAAATAACAATAATGATGATAATATTTACACTATGTATAATGCTCGGACTGTTGTCCTCATCTTTCTTGCCATATTCACGACGTTTCGGTCGAGATATATGCTCCGGCCTTCTTCGGGTGAACTGAAAACTTTATTCCGTCCACCGGGGTAGATTGTTCTAGTTCCATGTACCATAGCTCTTCCCTTTAACTCAACTCTCCAAGTTTTTGTCCACCAATGCAGTAACCAATCTCCTGGAGAAGGCCGGAACGTACAACGGCCAAAACGTCGTGAATAAGGTAACAAAGACGAGGACAACAGTCCGAACAATATTTTGTAAATAATTACAATACTTCATCTCAGAAATATTGAATAATAATAATAATAATAATAATAATAATAATAATAATAATAATAATAACTACGATTACGATTGTTGTGATAGAGGCATTGGTAAGCTACATGTATGCTAGGTATGATAAAGAAGGGTACTGGAAATCAGAAGACACGCTGGAGTAAAAGCTAGCGGCTCGGTTGAGGAATCGGTGAACGGAGTTCGAATTCCAGTCGAATCCATTACATTCACTTCCGTGCTAATACCCTTGGGAAATGTATGAATCCTCTTCTATCCCCCCCCACTGCTATGGATAAACAGCAGGACAGACCTAGCCTTGGATTAAAACTGGTCTACCGCAGAAAGAAATGTCAACCTATTGAGGAAAAAATCGTAACATACATGATCACCTAAGCGTTTATGGCACATACTGACTGACTGAAAACCAGGTAAAATGTTCATCAGCATGTCATAGTTACAAAAGATTAGTTTTCGCGGCACTGTCCATATCATTCGCTAAACTCTCTTCATCGAAATGAAACCTCCCACATTTGCACAGATAACCCTTTTTTATTCATAGACCCTTATAGGCCCCTAAAATTAATCTCTGGCAAGATAATAATGACGATGTTGTTGAAAAGTATAAAGATTTTATGGGACATGTTGATTCAAACGAGAAAAATGTCCGTCCGGATACAGATGTTCTCAAAGAAAACTTAGTTTTGTTTTACCTTATTGCTATTTTTTGTTTGTTGGAAACTATACAAACTTTTAATACGGAATCGACAGAATATGGAATTACCAAAATGTAAAAACTTTTGACAGTTGTAATAAGAACATGAGGTAGAGTGTCAGAGATTTTTGCCCATGGGTTGAAATAATCAGAAGGCCTGTTTACTTGACACAGTAAGAGCAATAAGAAAAGTACTAGTTATCTTGGACAGTATGATATAGGTTGATATCCCGTAAATACATAAAAAAAAATATTCGGTTCATAATATCATCAGCATCGTTCTGTAGAGCTACATTTCTGTTGTTTCAAATCTCTCTTTCTTCCGCGAGGAGATTTTCCGGCTTTTACTGCCATGTCGGAGGAATGAAATTACATAACTCTTCAGCACTGCTTTCCTTGTTTATCAAATTTTTCGGTTTTTTTCATACGTGGCTTAGTTTTTGGAAGGCATCGTTCGCTATCCGAATGCGTCTTCTGATTTCAGTGCCAAAATTCACGCCATCTGTTCATAGATATTTTAAAATGGGGAAGTCGTTGATTTGGGATGCGACCTGTGCGGATACATTTCCGCCGGTAATTTGATCAGGTCCGCGGTTGAGCCGGGGTGCGTCGCCCGGGACGCAGAGATATAAAAAAAAAGTTAAATATTCTTCTCTTGCTGATAGATTTTATTTATTTATTTATTTATTTATTTATTTATTTTGCTCCTGTGGCAGTGGAGACTTGTGGGGTTGTTGGCCCTCGTTCGGTGGTGTTCCTTCGGGAGATTGCGTCTCGATTTGGGGGACGGGCCTCGCGGGGTGGAGTGGCTCTTGCAGCGTGTCTCACTGGCTATAGTTCGAGGTGGTGCTTTCTCCATCATTGCAGCTGACAGAAGATAGAAAAAAATGTTTATAGTTGCTTTGTTCAAACTTTTTTTCAGTAAATAAATTTCTCTAGATTCTAATGAAAAAAAATTAAAGGTATTTAAAATTTTTCTTCATTCAATGGTATAACTGTTTATTCCATTTGTGTTTCTCTTTGTGTGAATGTGTGTTTATGCATTTTCATTTCTTTGTCTGTGTGTGTGTGTGTTGTTGTTGTTGTTGTTGTTGCACTTGGGGGTCTGCCGTCCAATTTCATGATGCATTGAAGGGAGACAAGAAGAAAAAAAAAACATAAATCAATAATTTCATCGTTGATACCAACAACATTTCGTTTGTTTACTGAGCAGTCATTTTGCATCAACATATCTTTGCCTTGGAAAACACTCTCTTGGGAGTTGGTTCCAGAGTGCAGCTGCCCGAATAGGGGTTAGATCTCACAAACTGAATCCGAAGTGAAAGAGAATAGTTCGCTTGAATGTGCGTAGCACGGCGGACCTCAGCCATGGACTGCTGGAATTAAGGAATATAGTTCATTTAAGCACTTTCCATGGAAATAACAACAGAGCAGCGAGGGGCTTGCGATGTTTTGTCTGTTCACCGCAGTTTCCGAAATAAGAACCTAATGCTTACCCTCTTTCATGACACAGACTACAACATCCTATTTTTCTTCTTTTTATATTATTTACTAGAGGAGGCACGGAGGAGTCATGGATAGCGGCTCGGATTAGGAATCGCAGAGCTGAGTTCGAATTACAGTCGAATCCATTACATACACTTACGTACTAAATACCCTTAGGAAAGGTATGGATCCTCTTTTTCTCTCTCCCCAGCAGGATAGATCTTTGTTACCATATTTATTACAACGTTTCGGCTGTTGTCCTTCCCGGCCTTCTTCAGGTGGTTGGAATGTCGAATGTACCCTTTATTTCGCTCACTGGGGTAGACTGTTCAAGTTCCACGTGCCATGTTTAATGGAAGTCAATTCCCACTTATCTCCTGTTAATTCCCCTCTCCAAGTTCTCCACTGCCTTAACCGGATATTGAACAGGACCCAAAGAGTGTGAGTTCAATACCCGGTTAAGGCAGTAGAGAACTTTCAGAGGGGAATTAACAGGAGAACTGATAACTGACATCCATTAAACATAGCACGTGGAACTAGAACAGACTACACCAGTGAGCGAAATAAAGGGTTCAGTTCAATATTTGGACCACCTGAAGAAGACCGGAGCGTACAACGGCCGAAACGTTGTAATAAATATGGCGACAAAGATGAGGACAATAGTCCGAATATTGTAAATAGTGTACCAAAGGCGCTGTTTGGTTTTAAGGAAAGAAAGAAGGAAAACAGAAGGAAGAGGAGGCGATAATACTCCCATGTGCTTAACGTCTGCTTCATTAAAATAGAAAAAACTGTCAATTTCGAATCTTTTCATTTGTACACCCTTACTTCTTTGCATTCATAAATATGATTGTCATTTTAATAATTTGCTAAATTTGTTAAGCTCAAATATTTAACGATGCAATACAGGAATTTCTATGGGTATTTTATAGTCATGGAATTCGTACTCATTAAAGTAAGAATTAAGAATCATCAGAAAACTCAAATTGAAACACTAAAATTTTTCACGGTATATTTCTTTTCATTATTATTATTATTATTATTATTATTATTATTATTATCATCATCTCCCTTGATTTCTGGTGTATATTCTTTTCCAACCAGAGACCTAAAATCAGAAATGGCATCATGACATTTTCCACTGAGCAGTTTAAAAAAAAGATCACACGTATTTTACATAGATAAAGCCCTTAGTACGGTGTGGGCCGCACTCGTGAGAACATTTTTTTTTTGTATTTCTTTAAGGCAGGGGCTATCAGGAAACCCTTCAATGAGTCTATAAAAATCGTTTCCAATCAATCCGAGGGGTCCAACTACAACTGCAATTGTTAATGTCCTCATAAGCCACCTATTTGAGATTTCGATTTCAAGGTCCTTGTATTATGGTAGATTTTTGAAGATCTTCAAAGAACCATTGCAGTCTGAAAGGACTGTCATTTGAATAAGGAGGCACATTTTTTTTCTTTGCGGTCTCTAATCACGATATCAGGAAAGTTTAGATTTGATTGTTCTGTTTGAGTGTATTGTAAAATCCCATAAAATTGTTGCAGGTCCTATCTCCATAACCGGGTCTGGGTGGTGATCATCCAATTTTTTTGCAGTTGCCTTTCCATAAAAGTTGCAGATTTTCCAGTGCAGATATTGGCTCACTCCCTCATACCGTGCTGTATATTCAGTCAGTGTCAATATCTTGCAACCTGATACAAGATGGTCAATTGTTTCTGGAGATTTATCACAGAATCTGCATAAGGTATGCTTGGTATTTTCTAGTTAGCAAGCATTGGTCCTGTGCAGCAAGAATAAAAGCGTCGGTTTCAGCTTTTAACCCTGCATTTAGCCACTGATGGTACGAAGCTTGTCTACATCAGTTTGTTTGGTACGGGTAAAGTATTGGCCATGAAGAGGTTTATCTTGCCATCGTTTCTGTATCTGGTCGGTTGCATTTGACTTTGCTTTCTTTTTTAAGTATTTTGCAGCTTCGATCGGTTTATTATTATTATTATTATTATTATTATTATTATTATTATTATTATTATCATTATTATTATTAGCGACAATAGCGATGAAAAAACACGGTCGCTCGAAAAAATATGTCTATGCGCTTCTTTAAAGAAGAAAGAACAAACCAATAAGATTGTTTTTTTATTTCTTCTGGGTATTAGCACTTATAAGAAGGAACAATAAATACAAAGAAAATCTGGGTCGGCTCGCAAGAATTTAGCAATTTTTATTTTTTTCAAATAATTTTGGAAAATATTTTTTTCTTTTGCTTTTTCCTCTTATTTTATTTTAGTTATATTTTTTTTTAAACATCCTAGTTCCTTCGAAAAGTATCACTGCTTTTATATCGTATTTATTTAAAATAATTCCGTTATCTTTTATTCTGATGATTATATTTCACTGGAAGACTAAGAATTATTTGTTTCTTTTGGCTCTGCTTTCGTTCAATACAGGAGTTGATAGCTTGAGTGTTTTTGCTTCTTTTTTTTTTTTTTTTTTTTTAAATGTGGGAACTTGAAGAGACAAATGAAAACGGGTTACACTAGCCGGTGAGGGGCGAAGGGCTGTCGTCTTTCTAAAATAAAGAAAGGAGCGAATAAACAAAGAAAAGAAATAATGAATGAATACAAATCGAAATAAATACAGAAAAATCAAAGCAACAATAAGGAGAAAAAGAAAGAAACAAAGAAAGCAGAAAGAAAGAAATTAAAAAAGAAAAGAAGGGAGAAAGAGAAAAAAGAAAGAATGAAAAAAAGAAAGAAAAAACAGACATAAAGAAAGAAAGAAAGAAAAGAAAGACAAAAAACAGACACAAAGAAAGAAAGAAAGAAAGAAAGAAAAGAAGGAAGACAAAAACAGATATAATGAGAGCAAGAAAGAAAAGAGAAAAAGAAAGAAAGAAAAAGAAAGAAAAGGAAAGAAAAACGAAAGAAAAAAAATGTATGATAAAGAAAGAAAAAGGAAAAAGGAAAAAAAAAGAAAAACAAGAAAGGCCTAATGAAAGAAAGAAAAGGAAATAATGAAAAAAAGTAACAAAGAAAAAGAAAGAAAGAAAAAAAGAAAGAAAAAAGATAGATAAAGAAATAACAAAGAAAAAAGAAAGAAAGAAAAAGAAATAAAACGAAAGAAAAAGAAAGAAAGAAAGACATAAAGACAAAATGAAAGAAAAAAAAGAAAGAAGGAGAGAAGGACAAAGACAGAAAAGAAATAAAAGGAAAAAGAAGAACGAAAGACAAAGAAAGAAAAATTAAATAAAAAGAAAGAAAGAAAAAGACAAAGAAAGAAAAAAAGACAGAACAAAGACAGACAGACAGACAGACAGAAAGAAAGAAAGAAAGAAAGAAAGAAAGAAAGAAAGAAAGAAAGAAAGAAAGAAAAAGAAAGAAAGAAAAATGATTATCTTCAAATCCCAGAAATTCTTTTAGCCACACTACCAGCGTATTCTAGCGAGAGCGCCAATATATGTAAGAATCATTTGCAAGATGTATCTGTAAAACTATTTCCCAACCAATTAAATGAAAGAAATTGTGGGCCCTGAAAAAAGAAATGGTTGAATATTGTACATTATAATCCCATATATCCATGAGCCTCATAAATTTTGCAACCATTTTAACTACAACCATATGCCTGTCTTTTATTGTTTCGGATAAAAAAAATCCCCGTAACAAACAGACACCACTCAAAAAGACGAACCCAGCTCCTCACCAATGCAAGCTTACAATGAACTAAAACAAAAACAGACATCATTATTTAGTAAAGTGACAAATTCAACAGTTTCCTTATCCTCAGCAGAATCGATTATACCAAAAACTTGACTCCATAGCGTCAAAAATAAATTTAAAAAAATCTAAACAAAAATACCACCAGCCTCTTGAAGACAGAGATTAATGAACTGATTACGGGTAACAATGCCGAGATCGGATCCCTTGAACTGTAAAAAAATTATCGGTGAGTATTACCCTGACTACTTATACGAGGAACGTAAAAATACACAAACCTGACATCCCATAATCTCACAAATCCTAACTTTTGTAAAACAATTATCAAAAACTCTAAACCAAACGATACGTCTTTACTTACCCAGTAAATTTAACATTAATTCTGCGAGCAAATTCCTCGACATTTTACACGAGTTTAAAAAAATAAATAATGGTATCCTAGACTCAGTAGACGTTGAAATCTTATTCACCAGTCTCCCAGTCAAAAAAACTATAGAATATAGACCTGCAGAACCTATATTATCAGTAAAGTATAATTAAATGTAGCTATCACCACTGATTCGTTGAAAAAGGAGCATACCATGATGGAAAATACCCTACATTTAATAAAAAAGTTTATCGTCGAAATCTTTATTATTAAGAGGAATGACGAAAGAATATTTTTCTTCCTTTTAAAATGATATTTTTAACCAAAATTACGAACGTTATAACGTTTGAAATTTTTGTTAAAAATATTGTTTTTCTTGTGTCAGCGTTGGTCCGAGGGGTGTCTGAGATCTATTTAGGAAATGTTATCGTCTTTATTGTGGGGAAAAAGACATTGATTTGGAAATTGGTGCAAAAATGAAGTAATTATCGGATTTTAATGAAATTTTCAGGACTTATTCAAAGATGAATAAAATTATTTGAGAATTTTTTTACAAAAATCTAGGTGAAAATATTTTTTTTATATCTGATACCTCTACTTATGTAATTTTACAAAATTTTAAGATATTAAATTTTATGAAACTTAATGTTTATATTAGTTAAAAGCAGAACTCATTGAAAAATTTGAGTCATCAATTGCTTTTCGTATAACAGGACCCCCACTTAGCGAAAATGTGCTCTAAATCATAAAATTAAAACAAATGAAATCATCTAGGACATAATTTAATTAGAAAAGCTTTTAATTGCTTTTATCAATAAGATATATTATGGAGACTATTGGCTCAAGAAAAAGAAATTTCGATGAATAATTAATTTTTTCAAGAATTGTCTTCCTTTTTTTACAATTCAATTAGAATAATTTATAAAGTTTTAATTTTTTTAAATTTTGTTTTACTTTGCAGATGTTAGCTGATAGTTTTATTAAGTAAAACTATATTTGCTAATCATGAATGGCAAATCTTAGTACAATTCATCGACAACCAATATTTTAAAAAGAACTTTGAATTATTTTTGTGTGTATAAACGTGCCGATTTTTGTAAATACGGGTATCCATACACGATATTATCAGAAAATAAGAGTGATAGCTGTAATATATTTAAAGCTAAAGTACCTAAATTTCAATAAAACAGATTTCTAAATATTTTAGATTACTGGGTATTTAAAAATTACAGAAAAAAAGCGCTCACGTTATATTCTCCAAATAAATTTTTGCACATATGTCCACCGTAGAAAAAAAACTAGCAATCTGGCAGCACCTTAAATAATCAGCTACCTCCGTATTAAAAATGCATTCCAGTGATATATTTAACTTAAAGTAATCAATATTTGTTTCAAAGCAGATTAATTAAACTTTAAATATTCCTCAAATCAAGTTTCAGAAAAATTTGTTTTATTTTTGAAAGATTTTATAAAGAAAAATACATTATGAAGAAAGAGGGGTAAGAATCGAGATAAAATCAAGGATCTTCACAGTTACATAACAGAAAAAAAAACCTTCCAATCAATTTATGTTAGATTTGAAATTAGTTTGCTTGTTGGGAATATTAAATTTAATCTATTAGCCGGAAAATAAAACTAAAATAAAAAAAGCTTCAAGAAAGATTTTTTTTTAATTTTTAAAAATTAATTTTAAACCTTATATATCGCTAATCAGTGGAGACAACTATTAAAAAGAAAAGACGTAAATTAAAAGAAATATTTCCCCATTCATACATCTAGCGTGATTCACGGTCTGTCTCTGAGATTTGGTTGAAATAAATTCCAAATTTTGATCACGCTATGTGATCAGCAAAACATGTCAAAATGTCATCTGATGCAATCTAAGAAGGGTTACTGGATAAAGAATAACCAGCGGCGTGAAATAGGTAAACCACTGCAAGTGGTGAACTACTTAACATATTAACCCCATTTACAATAGTGTCAAACGTATTCATGGAGATTGTGAGATACCCATTAGTGTTCATAGGTACGGTATATAACATTCTAAATATAAATTATATATATATATATATATATATATATATATATATATATATTGTAAATGTTGAGTATAAGTAGTGTTCATAGGTCAATATAACATTCTAAATATATATATATATATATTATATATATATATATATTACGATAAACGTGCAAAATTTACAAATACATGAATTATTCACACAAAAACTAATGCAAAGGTTAATGATTTAAATGGCGAGACATCCATCATCGCAAACAATTCAAATAATATACAAAAACCTCCGTATCCGTTATGAATGAAATGATCCTTGTTTATATAAATTTCTGCCGTATTAGTTCTTATTTTTACTACAAGCTTTCGTCTGTTCCTACAGACATCTTCTGGTATAGAATAGATGTTGTTCTTGTTTTTTCTTTTAGTAATAAGAGGACAACGAAAATATATGTATTGTTGTATCCGAAAATGCTATTGAAAATGAGTTACTGTTTTTGGAGCGCGCTAAAGCAACGCTGAGTTTGATTTTAAATTTTTTAAAGGTTGTGCGTTCATATAGTAGTAAAAATAAGAACTAATACGGCAGAAATTTATATAAACAAGTGCGACTTTTGGATAATAAGTGCGACATTACTCTAATTATTGAACAATATAGTTCATGCCACTTTGACAGAAAAAATTTACCAGTAAAAAATTTGTTCATCACCATTGCATTAGTTTTTGTGTGAATAATTCATGTATTTATATATATATATATATATATATATATATATATATATATATATATATATATATATATATATATATTGTAGAGGACCGTGTTGGCGATGTTGAGTATAAGTAAATGAACACACGTGAGTTAAGATTTTCCTGTTAGCCGGTTCAACTACATGAGAAAGTTGGACTTTAATTAAGTCTAAAGAAGCCATCCCAATACATCTTCTGATCTCAGTGTCACACTTTCCGTCCGCTGTTAGAATACTTCCCAGATATTTACATTGCATATCACTTAATCCAAGGACCATTCTTTGTTTCTAACGAAATTTTTCTGTCTCTTAATACTCTGCTTAGCTTTTGGATGGCATCTTTGGCCATCCAAAAACCTCTTCGGACCTCGGTGTCGCAGTTTCAACCGTCTCTTAGAACGATTCCCAGATTTTTAAATTGTTGTATTTGTTTGATTTTAGCATCAGGATTTGTAATTTGCATTTTGGGCTCACCTTTTTGCTGACAACCATGCATTCTGTCTTCTTCTATTTTATACTTGGTCCTTTCTTCTCGCTTTCGTTCGCTACCTTTTGTCAAGGTTGACCAGTAGCTCTTACAGATTTTTGTTGCGTACGTTTTCGAACGAATTTATGTAATCTACAATACACTGGTACACGTCTTTCTGTATTTGCATTACACTGCCTGATAACATTCTGAGCATAAATATCGCATTCCTTTTTTTCGGTCTGTTTGACAAACCCGCACTGTTCTTGTCCTATCTCTGGTCTGATTCTGCTGCGCGCGCTATTCATCAGAATTCGAATGATGTATTTTATTATGTGTCTCATTAGGCTGATTGTCAGAGGGAGTTCGCATTCGTTTACGCCTGGGTTCTTAGGCAGTAATATAAAAATAGATTTACTTAGGTCTCCCGGCATGTAAATACTGTTGATTTAATTTATTATTTGTGACATCTTGTCTATTCCGAAATCATCTAAGACTGCCAGTATCTCTATTACAATTCCGTCTGGCCCTGCCTCTTTGTTTCTGTTCGATTTGGCCATTGCAGACATCACGTCGTTTTTAGTATTTCCGCTACGTCTATATTTCTGTGTATTGCCGGTTGTTTTCTTTCGTCGTTTATTCATTCTGAAGTATTTTTCTTTCTCTAATATACTTAGTCCTTTCTCGCATTTCTTCGTTTCCTTCTAATAACACTTCGAAAATGTCTGTAGTAGATAATAAAAAAGTATAAATAGCGAAAAAAATGACTTAAACTTACTGAAGCCAATTATATTCAACAGAAGCAAACATCATTTAATTAAAATGACTATAATCCAAGACCCAGTCTTACTAAATGGATATAGAAATTAAGTATATGTCATCAAACGTTATGGACACAAATTATTGCATTCTGTTGCACTGCTCTTTAATTTTAAACAAATGTAAGGTCACTCTCAAATTCAAAACAATGTGGCGATTAAAATAAATTTAAACTTCTTTTCTTCGCCGTACTTTTTTGCAGTCATTGCGACGAATCCTGTGAATGGAAAGCTTGGACCCACTATGAATTTCAAATCATATTTATACATTATTATTTGCGAAATATCTATCTATCTATCTATCTATCTATCTATCTATATATATATATATATATATATATATATCATTCATTTTAAACAAATATAATTGCATTTAAGGATTTTTGTTTGTTTTTTCCAAATTTTTCTTCATCTCTCTCTCTCTCTCTCTCTCTCTCTCTATATATATATATATATATATATATATATATATATATATATATATATATATGTGTGTGTGTGTGTGAAAACGACTTACAAGGTGTGGTGGTTGAGTTTTTTTTTTATAATTTTTCATGTGTTCGTACAATTTTCCTATTTTCAAGACCAAAATTTTAGAAAAACATTGCGAATTTTTTCCAAGCGCTTTCGGCTAAAATTTTAGTCATTACCAGGGATGAACTTTCTTTTCTTTTAACTGAATAAGTGGATAGATTTATGTCAGTATCGAGAGAATCATTGATATAGACTGAATGATGGTCAGACGTCACAGACTCCCAAAGTCGTGTAACACACTTCTGCTGTATTTACTGTTCAACGCATTATTTATCTTCAACCTTCTGTTTTGTTATTCCTTTACCAATTACTTGGTCACAACACTATATATTCATATATATGCACACACACACACACACACACACACACACACACACACACACACACATATATATATATATATATATAGAGAGAGAGAGAGAGAGATTGTGGAGGCAAGATGGAGTAATGGCTCTGATTGAGGAATCATAGAGGAATCATAAGTTCGAATTCCAGTCGAGTTTATTACATTAATTTACGTGCTAATACCTCTGGAAAAGTTATGAATCTTCTACTCCCGTCTATGGGTAAATAGCAGAACAAATTGAGTTCTATAGCCTTGGATGGAATCCAGTCTAGGAGAAGCAAAATTTGAAATTCAACCAAGCCAGTAATGGGTCTGGCTCTATCATGCTATCTTGCCCAAGGTACACTACTGCTACTGCACCTACAATCCTAATGGGTTACGAATATCGTGATCGTCATATATTCATACAAACACACACATAGTCACACACACACACACACATATAGAGAGAGCAAAATTAAATAGGGTAAATATTATTTACGAATTTAAATGCCCATTACGTAATTGTATTCCTGATCAATCAAAATTCGTAAATAATTATACTACACTACAACATGTTTGACACGCAGACTCAATCTACACCTTTCTGACGATAGTTCAATTAGATCTCATTTAGATATTCATGGAGACCTGCCGGACACTATTCGTAAGATACTTGTTGACAACACTAATATAATAGCATCATCTACATGCAAAAAGGGCTAAAATAATGGAAGCCTTATTAATAAAAACAAACAAACAAACAAACCAACACTTGATAATATTAACTTTGAACATGGACATAATATCTTGACCGTGTTTTGAAGAATGAAAACATTTTATAAAAAATACACACAACAAACTATTTCTTATTTTAACAATTAAAATATAATCCTAGAAAATGGCTAAATGTATAGTCGAAAGGGCTCGGATAAAAAGAACATTCGGACAGTTTTTATATAATTTATCATCCGAAAAAAGATTGCATGAGAAATTGTACAAAAAACCTAAATAAAAGCGCCTTGTATGTCGTTTTTAATGAAATGGGCATGAAAGAAGTATTGATGCCTAAATACACACACACACACACACACACACACACACACACACACACACATATATATATATATATATATATATATATATATATATATATATATATGTATATGTGTGTATATGTGTTTTCCAACTTTTTGATAAGGAGTACTATGTTAGAAGTTGTAGATAAAATGACCAAATCTCATATTTTAATTATATTATTGAACTACTTTCGACTTGTAAATATATATATATATATATATATATATATATATATATATATATATATATATATATATATATATGAGGCAGGATGTGTGTGTGCGTAACGAATGCACGGCCGCAATTTTCGACGGATTTGCACCAAAATTTACGTGCACATGCTCCAAGTTAGGAAGGCCAAGAGCGACTCTGCATTTTCCAACTTCTATCAATAGTGGAAATAATCGATTTTTTCATGCTTCTACGGCAGTTTTCATGTAGTTTTCGGCCATTTTGTACTGGCCAGAATGAGAGCCAATAGCTGGCTGCCACGAATAGGCAGGAAGATTCTATTGGCTAGCGTGAGAGCCAACAGCTGACTGACACGAATTTTAACTAGCATGCTACCATGCAAAAAAAAAATCGATATCTGCATTCGTCACAAGTGGGAAAAAATTTAAATCTGCATGGCACTTTACTCCAATTGGCTCATTCACTTGCTTAAACTCAACGTTGATTCTGATTTCGAAGAACTGGGTTGGGTGTGAAAAAGTATTTGTTGTTAACATTCTTTTTTCATTCGGTTTTTCCAGTTACGAGTCCTTTTTTAAAGTTGATCGTTTTGTGTTCATTATGCTTAGTTCTTTCTTCGTAACAGACTTAATATTTAGTATAGAGCTTAGAAAAAAATCGCAGTATGAGATAGGCAAGAAGTAAGGCATGTAGCAACATCATCACGGCAAAGGGCACTCCTTTAAACGCAAGGAAGGACAAAAATATTTTAAGTGAAGTGATAGCGATTGCTGTATGAGTCGTACGATTTTCGAATCAAGCATGGGCAACGCCGGACCATGTTGCTAGTATATATATATATATATATATATATATATATATATATGTGTGGGGTGGGATGCGATAGATAAACTGTTGCTCTTATATATTTATACTTCGCACATGCGCGTTGTTTGTTTTTGATTTTGTCGACTGATCAGTCTGAGAAAAAAGCATAATGACGTAATTCACTCTACCAAAAATTTGGAAATAACATTCTGTATTTTGGCAAGCAAGCTCTAATACGGACATTTCAGAATGTTTGGGTGTCAATCTGAGGATAGTGCGTAGAATTCGGAAAGATTTGGATGAGTCTAATGCTGATTATGAAGGTAAGACAGCTCGGAAAACTCACTCTGATCTTTCTGATAAGAAAAGAACTCCCGAATTTGTTGATGAGGGATCAGACTCAAAACAGTTTTACATGAAGTTCCTTGAGAAGGTAGTTCTGGGTTAAGTTGGTAGCTGCTGGAAGACTCTCTGTCTGGCAACAGGACTCTCCATCATGGCACTCAAGGTGAATCTAATCATGACTGTCAGACAATTTCTGACAGCGTACATTTGGTACCCTAGTTCCCCAGGCTGCAACTCCCTTGATTATTAGCGAAAACCAACAGAACTTGTTGTAACAGCAAAAATGAACTAAAAGCAAGGACTATGGTTCAACAACTTAAACCAGGAGATCGCCCAGAAGAGTTGCAGGAGATTCAGGAGTCGTCTTGAGGCCGTGGTTGAAGCCAATGGCGATCTTATTGAATAAATTTACTCTTTAGTATTTCAATATGTTTCTATGTAATTTGGCTAACTATATCTGTTAAAATGAGATGTCAACGTTATTTTCATTTTTGCGTCATTTAGACAACAATTCCTCCATCGCATTATGCATATCTGTTGAAATGAGATGTCAACGATATTTTCGTTTCTTGCGTCATTTAGAAGACAATTTATCCATCGCACCCTATATATATATATATATATATATATATATATGTTAAAGTGAGGTCAGCGTTTTCATTTTGGCAGCATTTAGACGACAATTTATCCATCGCACCCTGTATATATATGTTAAAGTGAGGTCAGCGTTTTCATTTTGGCAGCATTTAGACGACAATTTATCCGTCGCACACTGTATATATGCAGATTTTTTTTTTTTTTTTTTCATTTATATTCAGTTCATTAACATTTCAGGTTGCTTCTTTTTCTTACTTTTTCTTTTCGCTAGTGAAATGCAGTCCTTTCCTTTTCCACCAAACATCGTTTCCTTCTTCTTTATCATTCTTACTCTTTCTTTTCAAATCATTACCTGTAATCTTCATCGTTATCATCCTCGCCCCGTTTCCTACTGTTTTGGTCTGCTCGAGGCAGAATTCTTTCTAACGCCCTATCACTCTTGCCTCTCGCCCTCTCGATATATATATCTACCGCCGACCATCTCGTCCCAGGCTGAAACTTGGCTCGGCGGTTGTATATTATATAATGTTAACATAAATTCTCTTCGCCTCACTGAAATATCTGGAAATGGCCCATTAAAGAGGGTCTGCGAGTTTACTCGTTAAGGTACAGCCCCTAAGTCTTTTTTTCCTCTTCAATGCGGTAAGCGGCCATTTTCCGTAGTGCTATTCCAACAATTTTACCCACTCCCTCCTATCTCCAGAAAACAACAGATAGATGATAGAAATAAAATAGATGGGAAAATGTAGTAAAATAAAAATAAAACAATAAAGAAACCACTTAAGAAGAAAAAAAAAAGAATCGAAAGGTTATGGAGGAGAGAACGCATATATATATATATATATATATATATATATATATATATATATATATATATATATATATGTGTGTGTGTGCTCGAGCTTTTTCATATAAAGATATAGTCTTTATAAATATAAACGATCTGATATCTAATTACATACATCTATCTATCTATCTATCTATCTATCTATCTATCTATCTATCTATCTATCTGTCTCTCTGTCTGTTTTTCTATCTATCTATCTATCTATTACAATCAATTCATATCTATCTATCTATCTATCTATCTATCTATATATATATATATATATATATATATATATTCATGTATATGTATATGCATACATATATCTATACACACACACAAATATATATATATATATATATATATATATATATATATATATATATATATATATATATATATATATATATATATACATAGACACATAGTGATACACACATTTATATTAATATGTGTGCGTATCAATATTTTCTATATATATATATATATATATATATATATATATATATATATACATGTATGTGTATAAATAAAAGAAAGAACAGTAAGATATAAAATCCAGTGTTCTTATAGATATTTTTATTTTTACAAAATAGTGCTCAATGTAAATTTACACAGCATTAATATTATAAATTAATTGATTTAAAATGTGTTTTTTTCGCTACGCAGTTCTAACCATGTTTCGCTGGTTTCTCCTATAAAGTGGGACCAGGCATGCTGGTACGAATACTGCCGGTGTAGAAGATGGAGGCACAGCGTTTTATTATGTATTTCGAATAAAGTTAATGCTTGATTTTATATATATATATATATATATATATATATATATATATATATATATATATATATATATATATGTAATTCATCGAATCTAGAAGAATCCTCAGCAGAATACAGAAAGCACTGGACGACTGTTTCATCCTATATTTGGGACTCATCAACAGTGTGCACCCATTACCGCATATCGAACCCAGACCGTTTATATCTATCTATCTATCTATCTATCTATCTATCTATCTATCTATCTATCTATATACGGTTGTATTTGTGATTAGGATAAAGTGATGGGTGTGTTTTTTGGGTTTTTTTTTTTTAAAGAACGTGTCTTGTTCCTTTATTTACATTATATATCTTTTAAGCCAACCAATGACTCGGCCTGGTCAATCGACTGCTCGCCTCGCACAAAGTTCCGGGCCACTATTTCTTCCTTTGCTACGTGCATGTCTGCCCATTTGCTCCGGTCACTCCTCCTGCCAGTGTGAGTCGTCCTTGCTGCAAAACGGTTTGGCGTAAAACACCTCTTGAGACAGCCACCAGCAAGGGGACAGCATTTTGATTACCGTCTTTTCATTTTTTTTTATTCTCATTCCGATTTTATGTTTACCGGACTTTCTTTTTTTTTTTGTCTGTTATTTATTTATTTTTGTCTTTACCTCTTTATTTGCTTGTAGTTCTTTTAGATACGATTTAATCGCAGATTTAGTTGTTTCCATGGAGTTGTCTGCTCATGAATTTGTTTTTTCAAGACGAAAGATCCTACCAGATTTGGAACGTATTAATGTATGATGATGATGAGGAGGAGGAGGGGGAGGATGATGAGGATGATGATGATCATTATTATTATTATTATTATTATTATTTGGCTTATTAATAATATATTGTCATTATTATACATTTTTTTAATAATATATTGTCATTATTATACATATTTTAATTAAGAACTATCTTAAAATTCGCACTCTGTGCGGACTTATAAGCTTTCTCCTGGGAAAGACGAATTGGGCCTCTGGCCTCAAATTGAAGGAACGTTTGGTCCAGCTTAGAAAAAAAGCAATGATAATTTTGAAGAAATAACATTCAATTCACTCCATGGAAATTCAAAACTCTGATTCGAGCAAAATCCGGCTAAAAGACCAGTTTGGGCCACAACTCTAGTTTGGGCCACAACTCTAGTTTGGGCCACAACTCTAGTTTGGGACAAAAGTCCGGTTTGGGCCAAAGGTCCGGTTTCGGCCAAAACTCCGGTTTCGGCTGAAATTCCTCTTCAGGCCGAAAACTGAGTTTTCAAATCACAAACTCTGCGGAAGTCAAAATCTTACGTCACGAAACCTATCACTAACTCTGATTCCTTCACATTTTGAAGAAATATTTTTTTTTTCGAATAACAAAATTTTGGAGAGGTTTTAATCTAAATTTAAACATTTTTTTTTTTAAATTCACAATGTTTTTATCTTACTTTAAACGCAATATAAATTGAAAACACTTAAAATCACTAATTTTAGTTCAAAATCACAATTTATTTCAGAATTTGAATTTTTAACGGTTCTTTCCTCATCCGGACCCAAATCCCAATACTGGATTTCAAGGACCACATGAAGGTCATATTTTCAATCCTGGATTCAACCTGAACCTAAAATGGTATAATATGTCTATCTAGAGCAAATGTGTTCCGAGTTAGATGGGTTTCAATCAAACAGACGGACAAACAGAATTTGCCGTTTATTTCTTAAAGAATAATTAGTTAATTTTTCTTATTCGCTTCTTAATTAATAATAATGTTAAGCCTTTCTTGGCAGATTTTCTATTTTCATAATGTGAGACATTTGATAATAAATGGACTGGAAACATAAACAAAAATAAAAGGATTCTAAATGAAATCAGCTAGATTATAAAGCCAAAACATAAATTTAAAAAAATATTTTAATTTAAAAATTCTGTTTCCTTCCTAGGCATGTGTAATCTCATCAATATAAGCATAAAATTAGTCCGATGAAGTTCTAAAGAATGAAACGCGTCTAATGAAAATTTTTCCACTTTGTCATACGTCTTTCTTCTAAAATTTTTTCTTCATATATATATAATATATATATATATATATATATATATATATATATATATATATATATATATATATTTTTTTCTTTTTAAAAATATGATTCCATCGCAAGACAGAAACTTTCCATCTTTCAAAACTAAAACTAAATTTATAAAGGTTCCTAGAATCGCTTGGCAATGGAACGAGATACGGACTTTAATTTTAATTTTTATAATTAAATTTATAAATTTAGTTTCAATTTTGAAACATGTCCGCGAAGCAATCATATTTTTAAAAAAGGAAAATAATTATAATTTTATGCACTACTGTTTGTATCGAGCACTGGTTATTAAAAAATACAAATAACTGCTAAGAACACCGGATTATAAATCTAACTGTTCTTTCTTATTATTTATATATATATATATATATATATATATATATATATATATATATATATATATATATATATATGTGTGTGTGTGTGTGTGTGTGTATTATTATTATTATTAAGGAACAGACGACTTTAAACTTTCAACCTTAATGTTGTCTGTTTCTTAATAATAATTAATATTTGCTCAGTTTTTACATTGAATTCTCTGGATTATATTACCAAACACATCTGTTATATATATATATATATATATATATATATATATATATATATATATATATATATAATTTTCCCATAATAATAAACTACTTACTGAACTTTTTTATAAAAATTCTTTCAGGAAAAAACATTTTATGACTTTCAACCGAAAGCCACACTAGCTCTCCGGTCAATAAAAGCTGGCTGTTTCCTCATAAGGAATTGGTTAATATTCTTCTTTTATGTGCCGTGTCCCTTCAGGACGTAGGAGATCATGACCCTCCACATCTCCCTATCCCTTGTAGCTCTTAATAAGCTTTGTCTTTTTGTTATTTATCCCAAACTATCTTCTAAAATCCATTTACACAAATTCAGCAAATACACTAAGCACTGCTTTCTTTTGTACGTCTTTCCCTCAACCTGTCCTGCGAGTATCAGGCTTTCCTAGCCGTCCTTCCTAATTATGTGCCCTAGAAACCTCAACTGTCTTCTTCTGATGTTAAGTATACGTTCATTTTTTTTGTTTCCATTCACTCCAAAACCCATTTCTTGCTCACATGTTCGGCCCATATTATCCTCAGATTACAATTATTAACTGCTGTGTTAGTAATAACGTATTAATATATTCCTAATCATCTGCGTATTAATAGTCATATATTATTATTAATTTCTGGTGTGTACTCATTTCTTTGCGGGTCCCTCCCAGAGATCTTAGGTCAGAAATGGCATCATGACCGTTTCCACCGTTTCCATATATATGATATATATATATATATATATATATATATATATATATATATATATATATATATATATACACCTAGTGAGCCAGACAAGCCTACCTAGGTTTCACCTAAACGGATCGTCAGGAAAGTTTGGCCAAACTTTCCTGACGATCCGTTTAGGTGAAACCTAGGTAGGTTTGTCTGGCTCACTAGGTGTATCTAGGTCTGCTCTAGGGTTGTATTGAGCTCTTTTGTTAGTTAGTTGTTACTCGTATGAGGGTTTTTTCTTTGGGCTTCAGACCTGCATCTGTGCGATTTTTTTTGTCGGCAGAAGTCCATGTTTGTAGCTCTTTCTTTTTTTAAAACCTTTTTTTTTCCTCGAGATTGATTTGATTAGCAAATCAAAAATTCGAGTGTTTTTCGAAACGAGTCTAGTTATCTATCTATCTATCTATATATATATATATATATATATATATATATATATATATATATATATATATATATATATATAAACCCACATATTTTAAATAGGTAAGCCCTTCGTAAGGTGTGGGCTGTACTTTGTGAACATTTTTTTTTGAAGGTTTGAAGATCTTCCAGGAATTCCTTCAATTAATCTATTAGAATCTTTTCCAACCAATCCGAGGGTTCCAACTACAACATTTTTTATGATTTCGATTTCAAGAATCTTGTATTTTGATAGATTTTTGAAGATCTTCAACTATACATTGCAGTCTGCCGGTAGTGCCATATCAATAACGAGGCTTTTTGTTTGTTTGTTTGCGGTCTCTAATAACAATGTCTAGGCGGTTGGCTTTGATTGTTCCGTCTGTGTGTATTGTGTAGTCCCATAAAATTGTTATAGGTCCTATCTCCGTATCTGGGTGGTGTTCAAACCAATTATTATTATTATTATTATTATTATTTTCTTTGATTTCGCTGGACGTTTATCACATTTTTTTTCTGGTTTTTGACAATGGGTCCCGCCCTGGGACCCAAAATGGTGACATTAGAAATGGCATCATGACATTTTCCACTGACAAAAAATTACATAGATAAAGCCCTTCGTAAATGGTCTGTACTTGTCAGAACAATTTTTTGTATCTCCTTGAGGCAAAGACTCTGGTCTTGCGCTGGACTTTAATCCAGGAATAACCATCATTTAGTTTATTTGCACTGCAATCTTTTGTTTCATCTGTTCAACCAGTCCTAGGGCTCCAACTACAGCTAGGGATTGTTGATGTTTTCTGTTGTTTCATATGCCACATTTTCGAGATTTCTATTTCAAGGTCCTTGTATTTTGACAGCTTTTTGAATATCTTCAAAGATACATTGCAGTCAGCAGGGACTGCCATATCAATAAGGAGGCACCGTTTTTGTTTTTGGTCTTTAATAACAATTTATTATTATTATTATTATTATTATTATTTTTTCATCTACACGGTTTTTCGTTTTCAGTTGATCTTGCATTATGTGTGCTCCCTATCGAACTTCAGACAGAGGGGAACTTTCGTAGAAAATATGAAATCGTGCCAAACAACGCGGACTTCTAAGGGACGTTAAGCTTTTTTTGATATTTCTTAATGTAAGACATTAAGTTCGTTGCCATAGACAGAATCGCCCCAGGGGTAACTGACACTGAAAGACCCACATTCTGGTAAAATCAATCCCAAAGTTGGTGTAATTCTTAACTGTGACAGTTCCTTTGACTTTGATATTTTTCTCTTTAGCTTTTTCAGCACAAACAAGGAGACAATGCCACTAAGACGCAAGTGTTTACAGACTGTGACATTGAATGAGAAGACGTTAGTGAGGAGAAAGGACAATAAAAGAAGAGAATTCAAGAAGCAGAACATGACGATTGACGCTGTATTTAAATATTTAAAGATCGTAGGTGACAGGAGAGCAAGAAAATGTAAGAGAATGTCACAGTCGTTAAAATAAACTATTACACTAAAACAACGATTACATTTAGTTATTCTTATAGTAAGACTTCTATTAGTACAGTTAACTTGATGCGGTCGACTTACCATGTAGGAAAACACATTAGAATAATTACTATGAAAATATTCATAGAAAAGACCCAGGGAAGCCACGCCACAGTGGTGGGAAAGTGACTGAAGTCGA